CAGGAGGGGCAGGGGGTGCTGTGGGGTCCTCATGGCCTTCCCATCGCGGTGTCCCCCCACTTTATGGGGCTGCTGGGTGCTCCCCACTGAGTCTCTGCCCCCTCCTCAGCCAGATGTCCCCTGCCTGCTCCATGCTAAGGTGGCCAACGGGGCACCAAGGGGCTCAGGGTGTCCCGCTGGGTGGGGTTCACCCCCCATGTCCCAGGGGGTGGTGATGGGCACTGGGGAGGGGGGCAGCAAGGGGGACAGGTGCCTGCTCCTCCCTAACGGTGAATAATTGCTGCCGCATCGCGGGCACACCAGGAAGGGCATGGAGGGGCAAGGGGGGCCCAGCCGTGGGCTGGGGTAGGAATCACAAGGAGGGGTGGGATCACAGGGGGCTACAGTGAGGGATTAGGGGGTGTCGGAGAGGACGCTGAAGGGAGGGAATTACGGGGTTAGGAGGGTGGTGGGGAAAATGGGGTTGTCACAGGAGGGGATTACAGGGGTTACGGGGATCATAGTGGGCTACAGGGTTCCCAGGAGGGGATTACAGGGTTTGGGGGGTCTACAGGGGTCCCAGGAGAGGATTACAGGGTTTGGGGGATCTAGAGAGGTCCCAAGAGGGGATTATAGGGTTTGGGGTGCTACAAGGGTCCCAGGAGGGGATTACAGGGTTTGGGGGGTCTAGAGGGGTCCCAGGAGGGGATTACAGGGTTTTAGGGGGCTACAGGGGTCCCAGGAGAGGATTACAGGGTTTGGGGGATCTAGAGAGGTCCCAAGAGGGGATTATAGGGTTTGGGGTGCTACAAGGGTCCCAGGAGGGGATTACAGGGTTTGGGGGGTCTAGAGGGGTCCCAGGAGGGGATTACAGGGTTTTAGGGGGCTACAGGGGTCCCAGGAGAGGATTACAGGGTTTGGGGGATCTAGAGAGGTCCCAAGAGGGGATTATAGGGTTTGGGGTGCTACAAGGGTCCCAGGAGGGGATTACAGGGTTTGGGGGGTCTAGAGGGGTCCCAGGAGGGGATTACAGGGTTTTAGGGGGCTACAGGGGTCCCAGGAGAGGATTACAGGGTTTGGGGGATCTAGAGAGGTCCCAAGAGGGGATTATAGGGTTTGGGGTGCTACAAGGGTCCCAGGAGGGGATTACAGGGTTTGGGGGGTCTAGAGGGGTCCCAGGAGGGGATTACAGGGTTTTAGGGGGCTACAGGGGTCCCAGGAGAGGATTACAGGGTTTGGGGGATCTAGAGAGGTCCCAAGAGGGGATTATAGGGTTTGGGGTGCTACAAGGGTCCCAGGAGGGGATTACAGGGTTTGGGGGGTCTAGAGGGGTCCCAGGAGGGGATTACAGGGTTTTAGGGGGCTACAGGGGTCCCAGGAGAGGATTACAGGGTTTGGGGGATCTAGAGAGGTCCCAAGAGGGGATTATAGGGTTTGGGGTGCTACAAGGGTCCCAGGAGGGGATTACAGGGTTTGGGGGGTCTAGAGGGGTCCCAGGAGGGGATTACAGGGTTTTAGGGGGCTACAGGGGTCCCAGGAGAGGATTACAGGGTTTGGGGGATCTAGAGAGGTCCCAAGAGGGGATTATAGGGTTTGGGGTGCTACAAGGGTCCCAGGAGGGGATTACAGGGTTTGGGGGGTCTAGAGGGGTCCCAGGAGGGGATTACAGGGTTTTAGGGGGCTACAGGGGTCCCAGGAGAGGATTACAGGGTTTGGGGGATCTAGAGAGGTCCCAAGAGGGGATTATAGGGTTTGGGGTGCTACAAGGGTCCCAGGAGGGGATTACAGGGTTTGGGGGGTCTAGAGGGGTCCCAGGAGGGGATTACAGGGTTTTAGGGGGCTACAGGGGTCCCAGGAGAGGATTACAGGGTTTGGGGGATCTAGAGAGGTCCCAAGAGGGGATTACAGCCCCAGGCGGGAGGCACAGCCCGGGCAGGGGACACAGCCAGCCCTGGGCAGGGGGCACAGCCCGGGCAGGGGACACAGCCAGCCCCAGACGGGGGGCACAGCCACATCGGTTCATCCCGCCTGGTGCCCGCGGCGTGCCCAGGGACCCCGACGGGGCTGCCAAAGGCACGTGCTGTCGCTGTGCGTGCTGGTGCTGCTGCTGGTATTCGCCCAAAGCCGAGTTTGCAGCTCAGCGTTGGAGCTTGCGGGAGCGTGGGAGGAGTGAGGGATGGGAAAGTTTTCTCTTTCTGTGCGGGACGTGGGCATCTGTAGTGCGGCAGTGTCCCCGGGCAGCAGACGTCCTGCGCGGCTGCCTGCTTTCTGCTCACTGTTGTGCAAGAGAGAGTTCCTTGTAAGTCAATTTTTTGTTAATTGAAGCATTGAGAGAGTAACTCCCCTGAGTGTGTGGGTGACCTTCCCTGCAGCCGAGGATAATGGTGTTTATAATGAAGCTCTAGCAATTACATGATAAAGGTCTCTTGAAAAGCTCTGCCCTGCTAGGCTTTAATAAAAGGTGAGTGATGTATGCCTTGATGTGCCCTTGGTACGTAATTTCGTTCTGACTGTCTTTGCTGCAAACTGATACGTTTGCTCTCTTCTCGGGGAACATTTTCAGAATTTTTTTCCTTTCAGTGTTGAGGCTTAGAGTTGCGTTTTTCCCTTGAAGCTCAGTAAAAGTTGTTTCTAATATAATGATTCTGGAGGGCACTGCAAGTATGTGAAATACATCCCAAAGCAGCAGTTGTGAGACGGGGACGGTAGTTATGTCATCCCTGCTGAAAACAGAGATGGTACCAGAGCACGCTGCGAGGGTCAGCTCGGCTGCGGGCATCCGGGCAGGCGGGGAAGTCAGACTGCAGAAGGCCAAGAGACTGGCAGTTGGAAAGGGGACTGGTTTGTAAACGTGGCACTGAACGATTTCTGTAAAGGCACACGTGTTGGAGGGATAGAGCTCGTGTTGGATCTTAATCTGAAACGAGGTGAAGGGAGAGGTTAGCACTTTGGGGGTTGGGGCTTTTTTTTGCTTTGTTTAGTATCGTCGCTGTTGACTGTGCTTTTGAACGGGCCTATTTGAAGCTCTCTGCATTACTCGGGAGAGCATTTGGTGCCTTTGTCCATAGCACAGTCTGTTAGATATGCCAGTGGTGCTTAATTTAGCAAATCACTTTCTTAGCAAGCAGTCATGAATGTGAACAGAAGCACAGTGTTATCGTTAAGTGAATTTCTAGTGAAAGATGGGGGGTGAGGATGGAATGTGCCTTGGAATAGAGCACTGCATCGTTAAACACGTACCTGGAGATCTGCTGGCTGAAAGCTATTGATCTGTGCAGAGGCTTCGCGCAGCCCGCCAAGCAGAGCCCATCCACGCTCTCCGCTGGTACCTGCCTGAGGTCAGGTAGCTAACACCAGCTTGTGAATTATGTAAGAGAAAGGAGTCGGCTTTTCAGAGAGTGAACGTTTTGTGCTGTGGACAGTGCTGGCACAGCAGTGGACGGGGACAGCTCTGTGTTACGTGATGACTAACTGCGTTGTCGACAAACCTGCGTGGCCGTGTACCTGCCTGCCGTTAATACAGCAAGGCTGAAAATGCCGACAGCCGAGCTACCAGCTGTGGCTTTGCTGCTTTTTGTGTCGTTACCGAAAGCCACGGGAAAGCTGGTTTGGTTTGGTTTTATCAGGATTTGTGTTCTAGTTACTGCTTTCATATCTGGAATAAAGCTGCAGCTTCCTGTCACTGCCGTAAGGGAAGCTTTCCCATCTCCATAGTAACTCTTCCCAGGATCGCTGTTATATAATGTTGGTAGGAGATCCAGGCCGGCTTACGGAAGGGCTGCGCAGTGCCCGGCGTGGCCGTGGCGCTGGACGGAGGGGCTGGGTGCCAGCACGGCGAGGGGGTCTCGGTTGAGGGTGGGCTGTGGAGGGGTATCATTACAAGGGCCGTTGCTCCGGAAGGGCAGAGCTGCAGATCCTCTGCTCCTTTCTTAGCAGGTGTGTGATGCTGAGCAGGGGAGTGCAGCACATGTTTTGCAGCCGCTGTTAACACACGTGGATCTTTAAAACTCTTCCGTTGCCCTGGAGGTGCCTGAACCTAAACCAAAGGGTGCTGTGTTTGACTGGTGTTACAGAAACATCCCCTTGCTTTCATAGACCGTTACTGATCGTGAACTGGAGCCTGTTTCCTACATGCAGGGTGCTGAGAACGCCGTGAGTGGCTCGCTGATAAAGCGGGCAGCAAACGGTCAGCACATGGGCCGTGTCACCCTGCTCTGGGTGCCTCTCTGCGGGGCGCAGCACAGGCCGTGCTGTGCCAGCCTGCGCAGCTGCCCGGTGCGGTTTGTAACCAGACAGCCCCCAGGTGAGGTGACGCTGGAGGTGGTGTGGTGTTTTAATGGCGCTGAGGATTACAAGCGCTGGATAGTGTGTACCTCTAAGTTAAACCAAGGTGATTTGTTTTGACAGTCTTTCTCCCACTCAGTGAAGTTTTCAAAAGGAAGAGTGTTGCCAGGTGGGTAGGTTTTAGATTTCTAATGAAATGATGAGAGCAAAGGCCGGTATTAGCCCTTGACAGCAGTCACTTCCTCTGCATGGGACATCCTATTTCAAAACAAAAGCGTTTTCATACTGCCTTCCCAGCACACACACTCCTTATTTGCTCTCTTCATCAGCTGCACGCAGCTTTTATGTTTTACATACCGTGGCCCAAATAACACCAGAGTTCCCTGAGCGCTGTGGAAGGTACGGAGATGAAAATGATATGGGTCTGTACCATATGTGTAATGGCCCAGATGTTTATGGGCGATCACGGTGCCAAGTATGGGGAACCAATCTTTGTGAGAACTGGCTCTTTTTTTCCTGCTTGGGATAGGCCGAACTCGGATCAGGTCTGCTGCATCACCATTCGGGGAGCTGTGCCGGCGCAGGGAGGGCAGCGCGGGCTGGAGCGAGGAGGCTCAGTGGGGAGAGAGCGAGGCGGATCTCATTCCTTTGGCAGCGGTGCTTGTTTAAACCAAGTACGAGACAAATTACAGAAGGAAGTACCAGCACGGGATTACTCAAACGTGAAGGTTTATGTAAGGCAATGGTGGGCAAATAAGGGTGAAATGAACGGTTCTGGCTGGGTTACGCTGGCAAGAGGACTCCCTGGGAGTTACCCACTGATGATCAGTGACAGGAGCAAAAGACACCCGAGTGCTGAAGGCTCGGATCCATCCTGTTGCCCAGAACACGCTACGCCTTCTGCTCTGGGCTCCGTGCGTGGCGCTGCGTGCAGTGTGCGCACGCCGGGCAGGCGCAGGCCCCGCCGCTGTGTGTGCCTGGAGCACCGGCCGCTGCCCCGGGGAGCCGCGGGCCCGGCCGAACGGTCACCAGTGCTGAAACACCAAAGTCAGTAGCTGCAAGAATGCCCCCCAGTCCCTCCCCTTATTACTTTACTGCATAAAATGTGCTTTAAAGGACAAAACTTAATACCATGTGTCCTTTTGGTAAGCGTTGTAGCGTTACTTCTTTTGTGTTGTTTTAGAGTAGTAGTTGCCAGGCTCTGACGGTAGTTTTGTTAAGTATTTTCATTCAGCGCTACTCCCAGAAGAAAGGCTTCCCGTCTTCCTGCTGCTTCCCACCTTGCTGCTGCGGGTGGTTGTGCAGCATGTGGCAAACCCGCTTGGGCTGCGCTCTGGCCTGTTCTCCCCGCGGAGCGTGCTTGGGGTGTCTGCAGATCGGGGGTGCTGCTTCTGGCAGCAGAACCAGCTTCAAGCGTCGGAGTTGCAGCCTGGCAGTCACAGTCCCAAAGACCTTGATGAGGGCGAGGTTTATGACCCTCCGCATGGGGATTATTAGCAGTGGGGTTTGGGGGTCTGTGCTGCAGGGTCTGAGATCCTGAGCTGCTGCAGTGTCCTGGGGGAATATGGGAAGAGCTGGGAATTGCGGATTTCTAGTTCTGAGTGGGTCTGAGACCTTCTCTCTGGGCCTGTATCTTCGCTGCTCTGCCTCCATTTCCCCATCTGGAGAAAGGAAATCCCTCTGTTTTTCCTGAAGCGGTGACAATATGCATAAAATGATGTGTTTAGCTTTTTCCTCACATCTTGATCTATTCCCCATCCCTGCCCTCCTTCCCACAGAGAATTCTCCAGTCTTTGCTACAGACCTATGGCTGTGTGCAGTAAGAACTGGTTTAACTTCAAATCAAAACAAGGCAGCAGTGGTTACTGTCCCCTCAGTAGCAGTACTAACCTCACCCAGAATTACTGGTCGTCTTTGCCCACTCGGACACAGCCGGCCTGTGAGGGACCTGCCCGGCTGTGCCCTGGAGCTCCCTCAGCTCTTCCTGTCTTGCAGGTGCCATCACTGAGTACGCCTCCTCCAGCCAAAGGCCCAAATACAGATTTTGTTTTGCTACAAGTGATTTAAAGTGTTTCTAAAGACTTCTTCTTTCTTAGGAAAAGTCAGTGAAAACTCCTGCACTATGTAGGAAGAAAGAGATCCTAGCATGGAGAGTACTGAAGCTGGAAAGGGCGGTTGGAGCTGTTCAAACCCAGCGTGTGGTGCCACAAGCACCCTGCGTTGGTCTGAACGTGAGCTGCTCAGGGGTGATCTCCTTGCCACTCCAGCTGTGCCTCCCGTGCGCTGCTCCTGCTGCTCAGGCAGCTGGGCACTTGGGCTGGAGAAGAAAACTGAAAGTGAGTAATTTGGGGTTAGTTTTCAGCCAGTTCAGTTCCTTGGACCAACTCAATGTGTAGCTGCGCAAGTAACGCTGTTGGCACTAGAAAAGTCCCTGGGGAGGTAAGATTGCCCCTGCTGTGGAGATCTCACCATCAAGTTGTCTGGGAGGGATCCTGAAAGCGTACCTGGAGAGCAGCTTATTTAAGGAAGAGTCAGTTTTGTCCCTTAAAACTCACTGTTTCGGTATCTCATACCGCACCTCATGGGGGAATATGAATTTTAAAATGGCTCTCTAGGGTAGGCAGTGAGAGCATTTAGAGAGGCTTGGGTTTTAAAGGGGACAAATGGAACCTCCTTCTGCCTGTGCCATGGACTTGCTGCATTAATTCAGAAAAATCAAAGGAGTGCTCCGTTGGTTGTTTCACCGTCTGTAAGTAGGAAACGGCATCACACGCGGGGCGGCAGGGAAGGCAGGAAGTGGGTTGTTGTCTCTGCAGGGATGCTCTGGGACCTGCAAATGAAGTAAGCCTATAATTACTGTGTTCGTTTTTGCCTTTATTATCCTTTTGCTATTTTAATGTGTAACTATGTAAAAGAATAAACTGCAGTACCTCTCAGTGTACAAGAACAAAAGCACAGTGGAACTGCAGCACAAAAACTTGACCAGACAAAACTCCTCCGCAGACTTTGTGTATGTTTTACCTTAAAGTTTACCCCTCAAACCTTTCTCTGAAATGCCTGCAATAACCCCTGAGTTGCAACAGAAGGCAGCCTTCAGTCTCATTTCCCTGCCCAAATGATGATGCACAACCTGATGCCAGCCACCTGAACCTGCCACTGGATGTCTCCGAGTGGCCCATTTTCTAGGGGATAATAGCTCCTGTTCGAAACACAAGCGGACAAATTCTGTTCAAGTCAGCTTACGTTTCGCAATAGCCTTGTGGTTGCCACTTTAAGCAAGGATGATATTTAAACAACAACAAAAAAAGTCCCATCATTTAACAGAAAGTTTAGAAAACAACACGTACTGTTTTTGTAAAGAACAAGGCAACCGTAGGGTTGACTCTGGAAGGTTCATGTTGTTAACTGCTACAGAAGGTACTTTGCCGAGTTCTGTACGGTTCGTGATGTTCTGGATGCTTCCTCTCCTTGGGAGGGTTTGGGTGAGTCCCTGCGGCGGGTACCAGCACTCAGGCACGTGGCAGTGGCTCAGCTGGGCGCCCAGCAGCCGGGTGCCAGGCCGGTCCGTGGAAGCGGAGCCGTTGTGGCTTTGCCCCAAACCGGGAGGGCTGAGGAGGGCCCGGCCGGGGG